AGAATCATTTACAGCAAAGATGATGAGCTGTACAGGCCATATGGTGATCGAGTCCATGCTGACACACCATGGAGCAACCGAATCAAGCCTCCTTCCTCATTTGATCTCCTTGCCCTGCAGGTTTATTTCCTTTTGCAATCATTGATCATTTACACTTTCACCACCCTCATGGGCAAAGAGTCCCAGTTCATGACCACTCGCTGTGTTACACCCCCACATATCCTACCCGAAAACATTAAATCTCTGTCTTCTAGTCTTTGTCCTTTTAGTTATTGGGAAGAGTTGTTCCTTGTCCACCTTATCTAAATCTAACAGAGTCTTAAACAGCTCCATCAAATCTCTGTTCAATCTTCTTTGTTTTAAGGAAAACAGGCCAAACTTCTCCAACTTTACTCTGTCACTAAAAGCACATCCTGCAACTGCTCTTGTAAATCTTATCTGCACCCTGTCGAAGACCCCGACATCCTTCCTAAAGTGTGGCTGTCAAAACTGGAAACAATACTGCAATTGGGACCCAACCAGAGTTTTAGAAATGTTCTGCATAACTTCTTACCCTTTGTTTTCATACATCTATTTATGATGACCAAAATGCCATATGTTTTGTTAACGATTCTCTTATTGTGTCCTGTCACCAGCAGCAATTATTGCACATGGCCTACCTCTGTCCCTCTGCCCTCGAACGCTCTTTAGCAGTTTACTGTTAAGTCTGTTGCCTCTCTCTGTTTTGTTCTGTTTCGACTGTCTTATTTCATACTCACTTCTTGCCTGTCCTTATCACCTGTTGTATTTGATCTAGATCTCACTTAAGAATTCACTTGCAATGCAGCTTAAACTTTATTTATTTTTGGTTTCTCTTAATCTCTCTCTATTGTGCGTCATCCAAGGAGCCCCTTTTTCGATTCCCTTATTTTCTGCTGCTGTTGGAATGTTGTATGTAAACTTGTATTTGAAACATCTCCTGGTTAAAGATCACATATTTCCCATTAGCATTCTTTCTGGCTTCATTTTGTATGTGTCTTACTGATGGTTCTTCAATTATTGCAGGTGTAGCCTACATTCTGAAACTGTTGGATCAGTATCAGGAATTTGACTCGTTACACTGGTTTCAGTCAGTGAGAGAAAAATATCTTAAAGAAAAGAATGCTGTTGTCAAACAGCAAAATGTCCAATCAACTAATCAGGATGAAAAGCTCATGCAAACAATGAATTTAACCCAGAAAAGGTTGGACATCTATTTACAGGTACAGTTCTGTTTCCTGTTTAAAGTTTAGTGGTCTGATATTCTGGTCTATCACCTCATTTTGATATATACTACAGCAACATCTGAGACCAATTTGAAGTGACTATGTATTCCAAGCTCAGTACGTTCATGGTTCATACCCAGGCATGAACGTGGTCATTCTGTTACTGTATGTTTGATCAAAAAAACCAAAATGCTTTTAGTGTAATCCAGCCTTGCTTACTACCATTGTAAAAAGATAAATGAACTTTTACTACTTTTGTGGTAGTGCTTTTAGAAAGGCATTGTTATTAAATTATAAGAATTTGTTATAGCTACTTGTCCTCAGGACTTCCAGAATGGATTAATTGAAGTGTTACATGTAGTGGTTTACAGGATTCTAAAACAGCAAATAAATGAATGTTGCTTAAAAGTAGGAAGCCCCTGTTTCTATAATTCCTTTACATCCAGCTGGATAGGCTGTTTTAACATCTCATCTAAGCGTTAGCATCTTCTTGGTGTTGCTAGAGTCATAAGATTATACAACAGAGAAACAAACCCTTTGGCCCACCATGTCTATGCTGATCAACAAACACCAAACTATATTAATACCATTTGCCTGCACTTGGTCCATTGCTTATTACGCCCTGACATATGAAGTTCTCACTCGGATGCTTTTTAAAACATTGCTCTGAAATATCTGCCCAGATTATACGCATGTATGCAAGGGCCTCTTGAGGTGCAGTGATAATGATTCCCCCCGGCCCCTGTTGGCCAGAAGTTCTGGGTTCAGACCCATCTGCCTGACTGAGCAGGTTGCCTTATAATGTCTCTCTGCTTGTATGTGAATTGGAACTCTCTTAATCTCTTGATTCCTTCAACTGTGATAGCAACTAAGCTAAAGTTACCAGAGTAGCAGAACAGGCAGAATTACTAAAACTGGTTCATGGATTAATTAATAAACTGGTGAGAGTAGAATTTGAAATTAATTAAACTAGCTGACTTCTGACTGTATTCTGTCTGCTGAATGAGAACAGACATTTTACTGGTATCTTCTAAACACCTTGAAGATACAAAAAAAATCCTTAATATCTATGGATCAACTAATTCTGGAATTCCATTAATCTTTGTTATGCAATTGGAGAAACGTTTTAATAATGTTTCAATAAAAACATTTTAATCTTTGGTCCAGATTGGTAGGCATGCACTGGCCTGATCCATTAATGGGAAAAGAGAACATTTTGTTGGTTTTTCCGTTATTGATGTATTGGTTTCTTTGTATTCAGGAATTTGAGCTGCTGTATTTCTCACTGAGCAGTGCCAGGATTTTCTTCCGAGGAGACCAGTCTGCAGCAGAAGAAACTCAAGACAGAAAAGAGAGAGAAGGCAGGCTTTCAGTATTAAATGTTTGACCAGTCGTACATTGCCATGAATTGTATATGTTTGGATCCAGACTGACAAGTTGGTGAGGCAGAAAACCAAGATGCATTCCTTTGTACAAAAGAGTTTATTGACCACTCAATCATGTAGCTCTTTTCACCTACAATGTTAGAGATGCTCCCCATGTGCATGAATATTTTTGAATCAATCTGTTCAGAGATGTTATGACAACCTTTGAGACTTCAACCCAAGCCTCCTAGTTCAGACATAGAGACACTACTACAATGCCACAAGGGCCCCTCTTTAATTGTCTGAACACAGACATATAATGCCCTCCAACTTTTTTCTTCTAAACCTAAATACAAACGTTTACAAATTTAACAATATGATTAGCCAGATGTTAATAGTGTCATCTTAATAGAAGTGCAGTGTAATACTGTCAGTGATACCTGGGCTGTGATTACATCAATTAGGGATATTATCTTTTGTGACCTTTACTTGTAAAGTTTGAAGCCACAATCTAATTTTAAAAAATCAGAACATTAGCATTCTGAAAAAAAGATAGTTGTCTGATTTTCCAGTGGCAGCAGGGCAAGTGCATGTGGTGCTGACCCTGTTTCTAACTGTGTGGTTACTTTTGTTTTAATACCAGAGACATTCTGACAAAGCTTTGACCTGTGTGTGTGTGCTGTATTTAATTGAGAAGTTGAAACTTCTGATGGACTGAATAATGCTGCCCGGGGCCCCTTCTCAATGTCTTCCACACTAGCTAACATGCTTGAACTCCAGCGTGCTGCCCTGTACCGAGCTGGATAATTCACCTCTGGTTTTCCCATTGTGTTAATCACTGGTACAGGTCCTATGTTGACAGTGGGAGCTGTATTCTGGAACTTTAACTAAGTCTAAACAAGTAACTCCTACCCCTCCTCAACAGTATTCACACCCTGTGTCTCTGACGATGCCGCTGTTGATGCTGACACCCTATAACCCTGACAATATGCCATTGTCCTCTTGTCAAACCTTAATGATGCAAACATCATTCTGCAAAGCAGGACCCTCCCAGCTTCTCATCGAGGCAGATGTTGGTGCATTGGGGAATGAGGGCTGAGTAGTGGCTACTGTCAGGGGAGGGGTTTGGTTCTGAGCAGTATCGGACAGTAGGGTTTGGTCAGTTGTGCCAGGGCTTAAATTTGGAGGTGGATGGAGGGGTTTGAATGTAACAATATCAGGACCATTTGAAAACACAACTACAATGAACAGAAAATACGTTAGAGGACATAATTCAGTTCATAATGAGAAAGGGGCTTTGCTGCAGTTCTGCACGGCCACAAGGCTTCCTGACTTGCTTTGCTACCATCTCCCAGTAACAGCCAGGACTGGGAAGCCCAAAAATGTAAAAAGGTGTTCAGTGTGTTTAAAAAAAAAATTAATGTTTGACAAATTTGGTGCGGTGGCCTTGGCTCCAAGCTCTTATAAAATTCCCTTCCTAAAGCTTGCCACTTCTTTCTTCCAGAAATGTTTTTTAAAAAATTCTTAACTTTTTGACCAGCCTTTTGAATTGCCATGTTTTTTGAAAATGTTGCCTTGAAGCTATATAAATATTTTATTGTTCCCTGCACTTCTCAGCCGAGGTTGCAACTATTACTAACAGCTGAAGGACACTCACACTAGGGAGTTGTAAATGATGAGATCTGTTCAGCAATGTATGCAATTTCTAACAAACAAAAACAGAAATTGCTGAAGAAACTCAGCAGGTCTGGCAGCATCTTTAGAGAGAAAGTATGGTTAACGTTTTAATTAGGCAATGGCTGAGTGATATTATTGCTAGACTGTTAATCCAGGGGCCATGGCAGATGGTGGAGTTTGAATTTATTTAAAAAAATATGGAATTAGGAGTGTAATGGTGACCATGGAAAAACCATTGTCAATTGTTGGAACAACCCATCTGGTTCATTAATGTCCTTTAGGGAAGGAAACTGCCATCCTTATCTGGTCTGGCCTAAATTTGACTCCAGCCCCACACCAATGTGATTTGACTGCCCTATGGGCAATCAGTGCTTGCCTAGCCAGTGACACCATACCCCATGAATGAATTTTAAAAAAAATTTAAGTCCTGGTGAACCTCCTTTAGAGTCTGCTGACTTTCTCTAGCAATTTCTGTTTTCCTTTGTTTCAGGTCTCCAGCATCTGCAGTTCTTTGCTTTATTTTACATACTATTTCTAATTCAGTATTGTTAGGGTTCACAGTAATTTTAATGTCATATAGTCACAATGTTGGGTTGGAATATGTTTTATTTCTGATCCTGACGGAGCCTATAACATTTTTCTTTTTCCAGATGAAACAGCCAAATCAAACAGTGATGACTCCTGAAAGAAGTTGTCAAGGTGCCACATTCAAAGAAACCTATTACCATCTGAAGGCATATTTCTCTCTATCTGATCCATATTCCCTTCCACACACTTTTGCTTGCAGTTTGTTTTAGAGTTGCTTTTGTAGTATTCTTTGTGGCTTGTTTTTTTTGTGCTGGCAACTTTTCGTTTCTTATCCAGTCACAGAACTTGAAAGTGCTCACTAGTTTCCTATCTGACTTCTGTAGGAGAAAGAAGAAAACAGATCCTATGGCTGATTCGTTTTTGATTTTGGTTTATTGCAACAGAAAACTAGGGTCCAAATTTAATTGAATGGCATTATGCTTATGCAGTGGCATATCAAAGCTCTAATTATAATTGCTTTGACCAAAAGTATGCTTTGCAGAATAAAGGAAGCTAATGCTCCAAATTATAATATGGTTTTAGGACAGTGGTATCTTACAATTGTACAAATTGTAATTCCTGCAGTCCTTGATCCAGTTAGGGAATGATCCAATGGATCGGGGACAGGGATAAAAAGATGATTAAACTCACTCTTTCTATTAGAAATGGGATCTGGTTTCAGAATGATTATAAAGCTTTCCTGAGCAAAACTGGTCTTTTTTTTAATTACTGGTTTTCTGTAGTATTGTGCTGCCCCAATGTTTGTCTTAACTCCGTAGGCACCTAAACAGTTCCATTCAAGCTATTGCTCTGATGATGTAACAGCAGCAGTGCCCCCTGTCACCCTAACACAGATGAAATCTTCCCTTTAAAAGCATCTAATTCTACAAATATGCAAATGTAAATATTTATATATTTTAGAAATACCAAACAGTGCTAATAGGAATTCTTATTTGAATTAATCATAGCTCATTTAAAAAGAGATGAGTTTGATAAAGTATCTCTTAAGTTGCACTTACAGTAGGTTTTGTCAAATACTTTAAGTAGATTTTTAATCACAAACTACCAGGTACAAAATGTAACTTTGTGATCTTTGCCAGTTCATAAGCATTAAGTTTATAATACTCAGGAATATTGGACCAACAAATGTTTGTTGTTTCAAATATGGTTTGCTACTTCAAAACAATAAAAGAGCATCAAAATGTGATTTTAATATTGTGAATTTTTCTGCACATTCAACTCCCTTTCTATGACCCATTGTCTTGGAGAGATGCAGACTGAGCTTCTATTCTCTAGAGCTTAAAAGGTGAAATTTAAAGTTATTAGCATCTATGCTGTCAGGCATTATTTCTGAAAGGATGCTTTACCTGCCCAAATATTCAAACCTTAGACACAGCTGTCAGCCAGTTAAGACTAAGGTGGGTAGAAAAATCATGAAAGATTGGAACACAACTAGTAAACAGGGTAAATTATTAATATATTTTCCAGAGCAAAGGATAGTTTGGGAATCAGAGATAATTGTTTAAATTTTTATCTAGGACAGGCCAGGTTTGATGCATTACTATGAGGATGGATTTCAGGTTGGACCTGTAACAAAGGGCTATCAGAAACCAAACTAGGGCTGATTAGGGACCAAAAAGGAGATTTACTGATGAAGGGTCCATGGCTGTGCTATGAATATCTTACTTGTTTTACCAAGGAAGCTGATCTTACAAGCTGTTGGTATTTAGAGTTGATAAGGTGGCTGGCCTAGATAAATGCAAAAAATGAGAAGCTCAGAAGGTCTGGCAGCATCTGTGTAGCAGAATAGAGTTAACGTGTAAGAAGAATCACACAAGACTCAAACATTAACTCTATTTCTCTCTCCAAGATGCTGCCAGGCCAGCTGAGTTTTTTCAGATTTCCAACATCTGCCATATTTTGCTTTTAGTTGGATAATAGCTCTAAGGTTTTAGATGATGTGGTTGGTTGGCTTGTCGAGCTGGTTCATTGTTCTGCAGATGTTTCATTATCCTGCTAGGTAACATCATCAGTGCAGCCTCCGATGAAGCGCTGTTGTGTTTTCCTGCCTGTCATTTACACTCTGGTGTCCGTTGAGCTGGATTACCTCACTTCTAGTTTTCCTTTGCAATAGAGTATATAAGGAGTCTAGTTAATGGATAAGATGCAGCCTGGGATATTGAAGGAAGTGAGTATAAATTGTAGTGGTACTGGTCATAATAGTTGTCTTCCTCGCACTTGGGGGTGGTACCAGGGAACTGGAGAATTGGAAACATTATATCATTGTTGAAGAAAGGTTGTAAGGACAGGCCCAGAAATTAAAGACCAGTCAGTTTTGGTAAAATAAAACGCACAACTGTGGATACTGGAAATTTGAAACAAAAACAGAAATTGCTGGAGAAACTCAGCAGGTCTGGCAGCATCTGTGGAGAGAAAAGAGTTAACATTTCAGGTTTACAACACATGTTCTGAAGATGGTGCCAGCCCTGCTGACTTTCTCCAGTAATTTCTGAATTTAAGAAAACTAGAAACAACAATGATTTGGGAAAGAATTAATAGCCACATGAACTAATTAGAGAGCACCATCATGGCTTTCTTAAGGGAAACTTGTTTAACTACTTTGAGGCTCTTTGAAGCGAGAAGAGCGTTGATGCATTGTACATAGACTTCCAAAATAGTACAGCTGTAACAGATTGACAAAAGTTGCACTTCATGAAATAAAGAGGATAGTAGAAATATTGATAGAAAATTGGCCGAGAAAACAGTAATAGTTAATCAGTATTTTTTCAGGCTGGAGGAAGGGGACGGTATTGGGACTCGTGATATATCTTCACAGTCTAGACCCTGGTGTACAGGGGATAATTTCAGAGTTCGTGAATGATACAAAATGTGGAAGTACTGCGAGAACTGAACCTCTCAGTTCACAGGACGAGATGCTAATGAAACACAAGATCTGTATAAAACACTGGTTAGATCTCAGCTGAAGTACTGTGTACTGTTCTGAAGCGGTTGAATACCTGGAAGAAGGGAGTGCAGAAAAGGTTTGTGAACATTAAAGAATGGGAAACTCAATTGATGAAGACAGACTAGAGAAATTTAGAACAAGAGGTCACAAATTTAAAGTGATTTACAAGATAAGGATATGTGGCGAGATAAAACATTTTCACATGATAAAAGGTTTGGGTTTGGAGCGCATTGTCTGAAAACGTGGAGGTGGGTTCGTTTGAGATGTTCAAGAGGATACTGGATGATTATGTAATGTGCATGATTACAGGTAAAAGATCAGCGAATAACATTAAGATGCTCATTCAGCGACCTGGTGCAAACACTAAGCCAAATGGCTCCTGATGCATTGTAACAATTCTGTGAAAGTTGTTGTTTTCTGATTTTGGTGTCATGGAAAAAGTGGTGAGGGCCACATGCAAGCTGGAGTGTCCACAGTAGTTGTGATTAAACAGTTGGGATGTTGCCGAGTCGTAATCTGCTAAAGGACTCTAAGAAATCTCAACACATCAAAGATTACCAGGAACCCAGCACAATCAATGAATTCCTGATGACCGTGGCAGACCTTGTTTTTGGCCCTAGGCACCCTCAGGTCCTGTAAAGTATAGGGTTCTCTTTGTGGGAATAAAATTAGAATAGTGTGTCTTGTGAGATTGCCATGTTTGGGGGAAAAAAGAAGTTAGGAAAGTGTTAATTCCTGGCTTTGTTGAACTGTTGTAAGGGAATTCTGAGTTACTAACTAAAGGTTTTTTTATTCTCAAGGTCCAAAAAAACCTCTTAACCATATAAATGCCACAATTTTTTTTACAAGATGTTTAATAGCTTATGGTACCTAACAAATAACCAGAAAATATAGAACTTATTTGTCATTTTATAATGTGCAACAACAGCCTCAAACTACCAAGTGGATTTATAAAAATAAAAGTACATAGTATTATTTGGTAATTCTTCATCCCACTAGTAGCATCACTTGTAAATAGAATATTGGGTCTCAATATATCAACTTTGATTAAGAAGCTTAATACCATCCAGCACAAAGCAGCTCACTTAATTAGCACGCCCCCCCCCCCCCCCCACCCCAACCACCACCACCATAAAAACACACCACAGGGAACTAGAGGAGCAACTGTGTGTACCATCTATAAAATCCTGCAGCAACTCACAAAACTCTTTCAACAGACTCTTCCAAACCCCATGCCCTCCTCAAGCTCTTAGGATAAAGGTGGCAGATACATGAGAACACCACCACCTCAAAGTTCCCCTCCAAGCCCACACATTCCTTCAGTGTCATAGTCTAAATCTTGGAATTTTGTACCAGCACTGTGGACTGGGTATACCTACACCACATGGACCATACTTCAAGAAGGTAGCTCACCAGCACCAACACCAATGGCAGTTAGGGATGGGTAATAATTGATAACTAGTTATGCCCACATCCTGTGAATAAATAATTTAAAAATTACTTCAACTCCACCACCATCAAAATGATTCCTGTGACAACCGGTTGGATGGGGTCAGGGTGGTGGGGAGATGTTAAAGCTCCTATTTCTTCAGTCTTATTTGCTGCTAGCAGAAATTTTAATTTGAAAAACAAGTTATCTAAGGAGGGATACATAATGAAGGCTGAAGATAGGCTTAGACTGGATCACTTAGAGAGATACTGAAGTAAACTAGGTCACAAATAATCAATAACACCAAGTTGCTTTCATCTAATGGAAAAGAAAATGGGAGTTCCGTAGTCAGGACATTTTACAAACTAAATCTACTCCTGACTTGTAGAATAGAATATGAACATAAAATTAATGTAACTAAGTAGTGGTAAGGTTTCCCATTAACTGGAGTGTAATACATGCAGGAGAATCACAAAAGTAGGTGATAATGCTCTTTAAATCCCTATCTTGTGAACAACCATTGATAAAAATGTTAGAGACAAGCTGTTTTCATCACAGCAGTAAGCATTTGTACATTAATATAAATTGTTTAAAACCACTTTTACATTTATAGTGTCTTTCATCACATCAGGATGCCCTAAACACTTGACAGATACTGAAGTACTTTTTGAAGTGTAGTATTACTGGTAGCCAGTATGTGTCCCAACAAGAGTCAAACAAATAACAAAATGTTTTACTTGTGGCAATTAGGAGGCCTGTTGCATCTACCTGTGACATGGCACCTTTGAGCATGCAGCACACTTCAATACTATTTATCAATCTAGATTACATGTTTTTAGATTGGATGAGAATCTGAATCCAGGATGTGGCTCAGATGAGTGTGTGGTACCAACAGATAACTTGTACAATTTCAGGCAAGAGCTTGTAACTGTCCTACCCACATGGAGAGCTATTTAAAGAAATCAGTCTCATTACCTTATTCCAAAGCACAAGGAAATGCAGGAATGCTGCAGTAGGAAGGAGAGATGAGATACTACAGCTTACCACTACAATAAAAGGTGTTAGAAAGTATGTGTTTGACACTGAGCCAGAATTGAAGGTTACCTTTCAAGAGGGCGTTGGGGAGACGGACCCTGATCGGCTTTAGCAGCTGAAGGCAGAGTCACTAATGGAGGGCTGAATAAAATTGGACATACCTGAATTATGTGCCGATTTCTCAGGACTTTTGGATTGGAGGTACATTGATCAAGACAGGCAAAGCCATGGAAGAATTTGAAAATCAGGTTGAGAATGTTAAAATAGAGGTAGAGATTAATATTACATTTAATTAAAATGTAATAGTATGAAGAGAAACAGTACCTAAACCAAATGGGATGCATTTTCAAATAAAGGTCTATTAAGGGGAATGCAGTAACACTAATGAAAAATTCCCATGGGAACTGTGAATTGCACTAAAGACTGCAAAGGAAAATGGGAGGGATACTATAAAACAACATTGACCAGTTAATCTTTACTTGTGGGCAACCTTTGAATTGTACACAGAATGAAACTTACAGGCAAACTGCCTCGTGTGGAACAGGAGTGAAGCCAAAGAATGCAAGAATATTAGTGAACTGGGTGGCTTGGGGACTGAAAGACAAATGGATACATTTGGTAATGGTAGTGTATAGGTAGTGGGCAGTGCAAAGAATTTTCACTCAAACCTTATAATTACTTTAAATGATTAAGATATGGAGAAAGATAACATTTTCTTTAATGGATTCGGCCATATTGTGAAACAGGAAGGTGCAGCTTACTACAGAAAATGAGGAGTAATACATTTTAGTCAAAAGATAGATATCCCCTGGTGAAATTGGTGAGACTGGTAGGGACATTTTCTGAGTTATTTGAAGATAGAATATTGAGCATGAAATGTATACTGAGACAGTGAATGTAACATTTACTAGGGACCGGATAGGTCTTACGAAGGGCTAGACAGCTCAATCTGGAGAAACAGCAGAGGCACTGTAATTTCTGAGCTTCTGTGAACCTTGTTTCTTACAGTGAGTTTCCTTCCATCTTGTGATGATTGAGTATCACTGTGTCATTTTAAGTGTAATTGTTTAAGTGAGGTCAAGTCTTTCTCACCTTGTTTCTCTGTTAAGGAACACTTACTGCAGAGGAGCACAGCTAGCTGGTTAAGGATAGTAACATTTCTTGCTGCTGGGATTCTCCTCCTCTACTGCCGAAACAAGATTTAGGATTAAACAAATTGTTATTTAGGATTTGATTCATGCCCACAAGAACTGGAACCAGAACTCAAGTATGATGTAGCAATCCCCAGAGTTTGAATCAACTTCCTTACCAGCAGGGATCGACACAATAGTCAATTTATAGCAGATATTTACAAAGAACATGTAGGTTATTGTGTATGAAAAGTAGAGTAATTAAAGTTACAGACTGGTATTCTGTCCAGTTTTAAAAGCACACTCCAATTGCACTGAAGCTCTAATTCCTTAATTCTCCAGTGAAGAAAGTTATCTAAAGATTACAAAGAGATCTTTATCAATTTTCAATGAGCTGAGGAGTGTCAGATGGAGATTAATTTGGATAAATGCAAGGTGTTGCATCTTGATAGAACAAACAAGAGACCTGGGGTTCAGGTACAAAATTCTTTGAAATTTGTGTCACAGGTAGGATGGTTAAGGCGGCGTTTAGCACACCCGCCTTTATTGTTCAGACCTTTGAATATAGGAGTTGAGATGTCATGTTGAGGCCTGTTCTGGTCACCCTGTTATAGGAAGGATATTATTAAACTGGAGAAGGTTCAGAAAAGATTTACCAGGATGTTGCCAGGAATGGATGTAAGCTGGGACGTTTTTCACTAGAGCATCGGAGTTTGAGGTTTATAGAGGTTTACAAACTTATGAGGGGCATAGCAAAGGTCTTTTCCCTAAGGTGGGGGAGTTCAAAACTAGGGCCAAATTTTAAGGTGAAAAGAGAAAGGTTTAAAAAGCACGAGGGGCAACTTTTTTTTAAAAACACCAGTTAGTGTGTGGAATGAACTGCAAGAGGAAATGGTGGATTCAGATATAGTTACAATGTTTAAAAGAAATTTGGATAAGTACATTAATAGGAAAGGTTTGGAGGGATATGGGCCAAACGCAGGCAGGTGGGACTAGTTGGACTGAAGGGTCTATTTCCATGCTGTATGACTCTTTGACTCTTTGACTCTAATTGTTTAAATAATTCTTAGCAAGGCCAGCATCATAAATGAGAAGCTTGAGAAGCTGATGGATAGTGAGAGACATTTTTGAACCTCTGCAGTCCATCTGATAAACTATAGTGGGGGAAAATCAGTATGACAATTGATGACTAGGATAAATATGGGCAAAAACCCTCCAGCAGTTGTGGGTGGAACATGGTTTCCAATTGTTTTAGCTAAATGATGGGGAAACAAATGAGACAGGTAAAGTCTTCTGATTCTCTATTTCCGTGTGGCAATGTTGTAACATGTTTGAATGTCGACTGAACACATTAATACTACAGGGCAGTATTCCAGCTTTACAATGCATGACGTCAGTATCCCTCCAAATACAGCTTTAGTCAAGTGAAGTGCACAATGGATAGTAGTGCAATAGTACTTAATGAACATAACTCAGCAAATATAATCATTAGATGAACAGCACCGACCTGTTGTGTCTGCCTCTAGCCTTTACATCTATTTCTGATCATACATTGAACCTAAAGCAATTTGTGACATCCTGAGGTCATGAAAGGTAGTAATCTCTACCCTCATCTTTATAACACTTACATAATCTTTATTTCTTTTAATGAAGAAAAAGAGCAGAATTCCTCAAAGCATTCTGTTGTGAATAAGCTTTTAAAAATATAGGCACTTCAATCTGTTTAGTAAATATCAGTTTAAAATGAAGTTATTAATAAGTCAGTTTGAGTAATTGATAGTTTTATGCTTATACATTTGATTCTATAAACCAGTCCTGAATTACTAGGACAATTATGAAC